TTGATCCAGAAATTTTTAAGCAGTGATAAATTGACTGAAGAAGAAAAGGAAGGAGAAAAGTGCTTTAGCTGAAATAAGTACATATTTCTCGAATTTGAAGCTCAGAACTAACAAAGGGCCTTTTTCTTTTCTTTTTATCATTTTTTTCCGAAACAAAACAATAGTTAATTAACATGAGAAACTTATGAAGTCATTGCCTACGTCAAGATACTATTAGTTTCTTGACCAATAATCTGTATATATACAGGGTCTAATACATTATTTCCACCACCAATAAGTTAAGCCCTTCACTTGTGATAGGAAAGTGCCCAGTGATGATGGACAACGTTAGTTTTCTTTGTCAAGGAAATCAACATCCATGATTAACAAGATTTTCTTTTTCTTTTTTAGTTAAAAAATTTTGGGAACCTGGGAGTCGTGTTATTAGATAATCCACTAGCTATAAAATTAAGATCCTCGCATTAGAATAATGCAAACTCGCAAAGGCAATATGATCAATTCACGTTATACAGTTCGTTGGAATTCTGTAGACACTTGTAAACTGGAACTAAACGAGTAATTAGTTACCTCCAATTAAGATATTAATGGTGGTCTATTACATTAGTACTGGATCTTAAGGGTGTCATAACCTTCAGTTACAACATTAGATTAGTCAAATGCAACCTTTTTTAAAGGCATACTGCAATGCAACTTTATTAGTTCTTGGATCAACTATAGCTTCTTCTTTTTTTTCTTCTGTATTTTTGGAGTTATATAGGTTTTATTTTTCTTTTTTCTTCAGAAGTTGTCAATGAGAAACTCTTGTTCAGGTGACTCGGGCTGTTTGTAATATCATTTGCAATCAAATGGAAAATCTAAGGTAGACTGAATTTACAGTTCCACAGCTTATAAATGCATGTTAGTTCCAAGAATAAAGTATGATAATGTGAAAAAAAAAATTGATGGTGTATCAAATATAATAATAATAATAAATAAAGCAAAGAAAACTCGTGTGACTCTTAACTACATCAGATGAACACCAAATAAAGAGGGAGAAATAGACCAATTATACTTAAGTATTCTACAAATCGAATATTGCACCCCAGATAGAGTCCTTGTCATGATGACACTTGGAGAATAGTTACAATATGTTGCCCCATTACTATGGAGAATAATATCAGAAAAAAATATCTGTTAGTTCACAACCAAAAATGAATCTATTAGTTCAAGTTGCAATCTTTCTACGCGGTGAGAGATTTGCCTTTTTATTTCCCTAGTATTTTTGCTAAAAAAAGAAGAAGAAGATATTAATATTGCATAAGTTTAGAATTTGTTAAATCTTTCACACTTGGAACTTTATTTATTTTTTTCCTCCATACTTTGGCATGCTCCGCTAGCAGTTTAGCTGGCAAGTGTTTTCAATCCAGCAATCTTTTTCTGGTGTAGCTTTAGTACAGTGATGAATCTCTAGTCTAAATTATTAGTTTCGTAAGATTTCAAAGGATATTTAATACACGAGGACTTGCAGCAACGAATTGCTAAGCCGCCAAAGACGCAATAAATTGGTCTATCGATTCCACATGCCCTCCTTACAAAGCCAAATGAGTCAGAAATGAACTAATTAATAGGGTGTAATTTTATCAATTATTTTATTATTAATTGCCTCTATTACCTGACCTGATATGGATTAATTGTTGGATTTTACTCACTTCTGATATTTTGCATTAATTTTAGAGAGTAGAACGAAAATATGATAACAGGTGCCAATTTGATAGAAAAGGAGTCCAAATAATAGAACTTGTTCCAGGGAAATTTTTGAAAAAAAAGACGTTACGCCCATTTTGATAATTTTTGCTAGGGCAAGGACGGACGGAGGGCTGGAGTGTTCTTTTTCCCTTGAAGGGCCGCCGCACAGAGCATCGAAAAAAAAAAGAATGGAGGACTATTAGATAGGAATTAGAATGAGGAGCAGAGGATCTTGTCTCCTTTAGCTTAGTTTTTCCTTTGACTTTTCCTTAGAATTTTTCCTTTGCTTTTGGATTGTTACGCATGTTAGAATCAAATGGAAGAACTTTGACTCTTCCTTTCTTGCTTCCGTAGTAGCTTTCCTCCATATGTCAGGACAAGTGCTAATCAATTTAGTCATTCTCCGGAAACGTGTTATTCTTCCTTTTGCTCGAACAAATTGAACTCCCTTGGTCAAGGACAATGGCCGTGGCTTTCTCTTTAATTTTGTGTGGGTTTTGTTCACCAAGAATGAACTAATTTCCTTTGTCTAGTCAAGAGACAACGGATGCTTTGAATCGCCTAAAAAAATTGTGAGATCGATCTAATTTTACTTTTTTTTATTTATTGGTATTCGCATATTTCTTGATTGCAGTACTTGTGATTATTTAATTAATTGATTGTTTTGGATCCGGATAGTTAGTTAATTTGGTAATCTATTGTCAATTAGAGTATTTAAATCTGTAATTGTTTAATTGTCTTGAAATAGTGACAACTGACACGATTAGATTTGTTTCAGGGGGATACGCGGGCTAATTTGAAATAACCTTGGTAGTGCGTTATTTGATTAGAATATGGCTCATCTAATACGTAAGACAATTGGGAAATTAAATCTTATGGGCGTGCCTAGAATTATTTCTCAATTAGAGTAGTGATTAACGGACGTACCTTAATCATCGACACAGTAAGAAGAGGTTGACTGTCATCGCTTGTTTGGTAATTATAACCTATTTATTAATAAATACTTAGAATTGCTTGTGCATCGATAATCAATTAGGTGAACCATTGCTGAACTTATTTCTTAGCTAGACCTTTAATTATTATTACCTTGATTTTGGTAACTTATCATTTGATTTTTAGTTGCCTATTTTATTTTATTTTTAATTGTTTTCGTGCTTTAATTGTTTTGGACCTTTAATTGTTGTTACTCTAAGTTTAGTGAATTGTCATTTAATTTCTAGTTAGTTATTTATTTTTATTTTCTTATTTGAATTTCTTTGATTGTCGTCGTTTATACAAAATCACCCCCTGTGTTACTTTGAATTTCTTAAGAGACAAATATCCCCAGTTCCTGAGTATACGATCCTACTTGCATGCTACAAGAAATTTGGTCATTAGTGACAACATTTCTCAGTGATGAAAAAAAATCGTCACAGAATGGTGTCCTTTAACCACAATACAGCAAGCTGTCACAATTGAGTCAAGGGAGCTAACACATCAGTGACAACCTTGCATTGTTGTCACAATTCGATTCCCGCCAGGAGTCATGGAGAGAGCGGGAACTACAATAGTGACGACTTTCTAAAAGTTGTCAGTATTAATAGCACTTTCTTTGACAACTTTGCAATTGTTGTCACTGATGACATTGTATAGCCTTTAGTGACAACCTAGTCTTGTCACTGTTTGATTTAAAATATTTATTACTTTTTACAACTATTACTCCTAATTTTTTGTAATTATTATGTGTTCTCTAATGATTTTTTATTGTTATATACTTATGAGCCTCCTTGTTAGTTTAATTTTCTTGTATATGTAATAACTTCATTAGAATAAAAATAATTAAAAAATAAAAAATTCATTAGTGTAAATTAGGGCTGCAAACGAATCGAGCCGCTCGCGAGCCGCTCGAGTCGAGCTCGAACTCGAGCTCAGAATATTAAGCTCGTTAGCTCGCGAGCCGGCTCGCGAGCTTAAGTATATATATATATATATTTTTATTTAATAATAAAATTACGTATATTATATATATATTTTTTTATATTTTATTTTCATAGTGAAATTACGGATATATCCTTAATATTTTATTATTTATTCAGAAAAAAATATTATTTTATTTTTTTTTTTTAATAAAAATATTTTTTTTTATTTTTTTCGAGCTCGAGCTCGAAAATTGCCAGCTCGTCGAGCTCGAGCTCGAGCTCGAGCTTGGTAAAATTTAGTCGAGACTCGGCTCGATTAGCTCAAAGCTCGACTCGACTCGGCTCGTTTGCAGCCCTAGTGTAAATAAGCTTGTGACTACTTAACTTAGAATGATTATTAGTTAATATGATATGAATATAAATAAGAGTTTTCAAATGGAACTAGTTATCGAAGTGGATAAATCCTAAACTCCATAGTTAATTAACTAGTACACATTATGTATTAGTTTAATTGTGCATTTTTTTTTCTTATTTGAAGATAATGGATTAATAGTGAAGTTTTGTATTGGATGTTAATTGAATGGCCGCTATTTAAAATGTGCTTTGTTAATTGAATATGCTCTATTTAAAATCTACTAAAAATTAATGGCAACCTAGGTTTGTTTTGCAAATTAGTAGTACAATAACTTCAAACAAAATCAACCGATAACATACAATCATACATGGCTCATCAGTATAAAATAACTAAAGAGTTCATTTACAATAACTGACTTTAAAAAACACTATATACAAACCAATAGACACAAATATATGGGAACTCCTACAAATTAGGGGTGAACCATCTTTTAGTTTATATCAGTCATATAAGTCATATGTTATTTAAAGTAGAATTTTCCATAACTAAAGACCTATGGTGCTACTAGACTAAATTAAAAGAATGAAAGAGATTTAAGATATAATAATTTAGTTTTGCAATTTTGAGGAAGTGATATAAAGTTTTAACACCTGTATGACTTATTTGAAGTTATTCAACAAAAAAATATTTGAAGTTATTACCAAAAAAATTGAACTATTTGATGTTGAACAAAAGTACATTTACCACTTGTATTAATTTAACAAAAACTTGGCTCCCATTATGAAATTTTTTGACAAAAATGTTAAAAGGTAGCAATTAATAATATATTAGTAAAATTATACTACAACTAAAAAAACTTGATTGAAATTTTGAGGAACTCAGTGAACTGATATTTCACTGAAACTAAATAAACAAAATATGTGAAAAATATATGGTGTGGGTCAAATGTGAAAAACAAACATTTTGTAACCCAATAGAAAAGCTCTCTGCTTTACTCTCCGTTGGTCTCCCCTCTTTCACTTTACACCCTCAACAGAAACCATTAACAAAAAACAATTCTCCTTTCTCCTCTCCATAGATCGATCATGTCTTTGTGATGTTGAACAGAAGAAGTACTCCACCAACTCTTTGCAAGAAAAGGTATCTCATGTCTCTCCTTCTTCTCCCCGATTTTTCCCCAATTTTTTTTGCCCTAATTATTTTTTTGCCAAAAATTTGTGCCCAATTTTTTTGGATAATTTTGAGTTACGGGTGAAATCATCTCCACTAGAATTATTTTAGTTGTGAATACCATTACTTCATTCTTTTTTATTGTACAAGATAAAGGTTTCAGTGGGGTTGGTGGTGGATACGGGTTTGAGGTTGAGTTTGGGGACGAAGGTGATTATGATGTAGAGGGGTTTGTTTCTTGGAATGGGATGGAAAACGGAGACAAGAAGATGGGAATAAAATGAAGGGGGGAATTACAAGGGTGTGCGTAGGATAAAACAGGGAGCCCCCGACAAAGATTTTAGCAGTACAGACCAGACATCTCATTACTGGCACCCCCTTAATACCCTCTCACTCAAACCCATAAAGAATACCCATTTCCTGGTCACACTCCCTCTAGATTTAAGGGTTCCTTTGTTCTCTAGCTTCATCAGATTTGGGTCTAGGGAAACTTTCGGAATGTAAATATTCCTTAAATTATGGCAAGAGAATAATTTTATTGTAGTATAATCACTTTTGTATTCTTCCTGTCCGGCTTGGCGTTTGTTTGTTGAATGGGTTGGTACTTGTTAGCAGTTAGCAGCACTTGGGTTTTTGAAGAATTATATGATCCTTAAGATCGGTAGAAAATTCATTAATGTAAACCTCTCAATGTTAATGTTTACGTCTTTACACGACGACAGGATAGTGATAGACTATGGGAATGAAACCTATACTCATGTCTGTCATTTGCTTTTAGTGTCTGCTTTGTGTTTACTGGGATGAAAATGAATGGATTTACAAACAGTTTTTCTTTTTCATTTTTGTCTTTTAAAGTACTCTCCTGAAGCAGCCTTCATTTATTTAAAACACCCTTTTTAAGTTTTAACACAAAATTACTACTCTTCCAATTTCTAATTATAAACAATATTTTATGAATTCACTTCTTCTTCATGCGGTTTTAAACAAAAAAAAAATGAAACAAGAGCTGGCCAATCGCATCTTGGCAAATTTAGTGATTCGTTAAGTTAGGTAAATATCCAAAAAACGCTTTACCATGACCAGTTGAAAGTGAAACTTTGTGAACTGTTGGATTCTTGTACGCTTTACATCCTAATTAGCTATAGTGATAGGAGTGGAAAAGATTTAAGAGGTGATTATGATGTAGATATGTCTATGAGTGGTTGCAAGTGAGAAAAATAGTGGGTTAAGTGGTGTTGGGTGGAGAGGGAATTGGGAAATCGCAAGGTTTAGTGGAATTTTTTCTGATGTAAAAAATTCCCCTCTTTTCTTTTTTTGTGTTGAAATTTGGTAAATTGTCATGGGAATTTCAAGAGAAAATCTCATCTCCATTCTCTACACCATCACCGACGTTATGTCCATTCAGTACTCCATCCAATAGAGATCAAGTTTTGGTACATGAATGAAATAATTTATTATTTTTTATGTTTTTTAATAGTTCTTCAGTTTTGGAAGTGAAGTTCTGATTTCTTTACATTGCAAGAGAAAAGTTATATTACCTTTTTAAAGTTAGGTAAGTTACATTTGAACTCCCAATGTGCAACTAATGAAGTCAATAAAAGATTCATGGCTGACTGTAATGCTAATTCTAGAGGCTTGCTTATGAACAACTTTTGGTTGCTGAAGTGGAGCATAATTCAAATATAATACAAAAGCCGCATGGGAAATTTGTATATATTGCACATCTTTTGCATTGGGAGTCATAATTTTCTCAAGTTTTGTGGTTAGTTAAGGAGTATGGACTTTGTGATACTACTTTTAATTGCCTTGTATAGCTAACTATGTTACAAGCAGGTGTTTTTAGTTTTTGTGAGGAAATCATGATATTCAGATTATGGTATAAGCTGGAGACAACATTTTCCTTGTCAAAGGTATACATCAAGCTTGATTTTCATTGTCCAAATTCTAGAGTTTATTTTGAATAAGTAGTTCTTTCCTACCATTTTTTTTAATATTTGGTGATGGACTACCTGAATGAATATGTAAGTTTTGACGATTATGTAGTGTTCTTGGAATGTGTAGTTGTAACGTTATTAGGTACAAGTATAGATTAGTATCAAAATTAAAAGAAGGAAACATATGTTTTATATGCAAACATTTTCTTATAAGCACTATAGCTACCATTTTATTCATTGTCTTTGAGCTTATAATGCACAGTATCATTTCATAGCGACTTCATTGGTTTGTTATTGTCTTGCAGCTTATTATGCTGATGCTATTGGTCCTTGCTATGGAATTTCCAAATATTGTGATGTTTTTTGGGTAAGTATATACTCCTTTCTATCTATGTTAGACTTGTTTCAAATGGTTGGGTCTTGTCAACAAAGTTTATGTAAAAGTGACAATTATAACTTTGTTCTAGGAGACATTTGCATATAAACAAGCTACAGGTGGTCTCTAAGCTAACTAGTAGAAAAGAAATTTCATAATCTAGTATTTCACGACATCTTATGCAAACTTTTCCTGATAACTACTTACTTTTATGCTATTTAAGCTACTAGCATGTGATATTTGCTATTAGAACTTTTGAAAATTGAAAGTAGGTTGGTTAGTGAATGTACTGGTTCGCCTCATAGTTAGAAGCTTCGATTTATAGTGGAGCATCTTTTCCATTTTTTACACAGTTTCACTAAAATATTAGATGCATCATTTTATTATTAAAATCATTAAACTATTACCAATGGGCGCTAAGAATCTCTAGATATGTCGAATTTTATTTGTCATCAAAATTTGGTCTAGCGATAAACAATATGCATTTTCAATACCTGAAAAGTTGAAGTTGCTATGCATAATCTATAGAATGAACCATACAAATGGAGCCCATGAAGCCATAGAAGGAACACTGTTTGGTTCTTAATATGGTAGCATAAGCATATTAATTGTTTTGTGAGTTCTTAATAACGTAGTAAAAGTAAAAGAAGTGTTTCTTGAGCTCTAATGTTCTAAGTGTTTATCTCTTACTTTACCCTTATTTAGTCATTGTCTAGATTATACTTAAAAGGAATGATTTAGCTTATTTTCTTGCAAATTCTTTAGTTATCTTTATTGTTTCAAGTTTTTCTTATGACCTACTAATAATTGCAGTACTTCACTGCAGATATGTTGCTCATTTTAGCTTTTTGGAAGATTAGCAGCAAGAGTTGCCAATTCACTCAAGGACGATAAAGAAAATCTTATACTTAGGAAATGTCATGACAACACATTTTTTTTGGGACTTGGATTTGTTTTGTAAAGCTACCTCGACTTATATGTGAAATTTAGGCCAAATACCACTTATCAAACTATTTGTAGGGTGCTATTGAATTTCATTATGATATTTGAATGCTTGATATGATATTTTGGCATTTCATAATGCAATGGATGCGTTCATTTGCTAATTGTCAAGCATTGTCATTTTTTTTCATTTATAGATATAATTGTAGTAGGAAAATCTGACAAATTTCATGGTGATAAAGTGTTATCACTGAATTAGAATTTTCCATTAATAACAACCTGTTGTCATAGAATTAAAAAGTGTTTAGTGACAACAAAAGTTGTCAGTAATTAGTCTATACCAATGACAATTACGGACCACTTTTAGTGACGACATTGCTTTGTATATCATTGACAAGATACTATGTCATCACTAAAATTACAACAATTACTGACGACACATGTTGTCACAAAACAGTCCCATTCACTGACGACTTTTATTGTCGTCACTATGTACTTTTACCGACGGGCCTTCAGTGACGACCCTGTGACAATTAGAAAGTTGTCAATAAAAGTCATCAGTGACGACTTTTTATTTTTTTTATGACAAAAATAGCCTGTCACTGAAAAACAATTTTCTTGTAGTGGCGTCCTGGCTACAAATTTATAATTATTTGTAAAAAAGAGCCATCTCATTCGGGTATATCAGATCAAGCAAACTCTTCTAGAACAGGGTGAATCAAGTAACCCATTGCACATTTAGAATCTCTGCTCCAGTATTTGGAATCGGGTATTAGCTACTTTAACTGGCAATTAGGTTTAATTTTTATTATTGTACAGGTTTTGACAACCTGTCAATTTTTTGCGCCGTTGCTGGGGACTGGCGCTAGTTATTTGTTTCTTTTTAAGTTTATTTTGTTCTAATTTTCTGGTATTTTTCTAATTTATGTCTCGTTCTTCTCGTACAGGCGAATTAGTTTTCAACCCTGAAGTAGAGAAGACCACGCGTAGAACGAGAAAGGAAACCAGACAGCTCAGAGAAAAACAGTCCAGTGTTGCATCTCAAGGACCTGATCCAGAGGTTGAGTCAACGGATTTGCGTGGTGATAACTCAAATGATTCAGACTAAGAGGAAGTCACCATGGCGAATGCACAAACACTAAGGGAGTTGGCTGCTCCCAATTTCAATCAACAACCTCTATGCATTACTTTTCCAAGTTTAAATGATAACACTCCATTTAAATTAAAATCTGGTCTAATTCATCTGTTGCCATCATTCCATGGTTTACCAGGTGAGGAGCCGTATAAACACCTGCAAGAGTTTAATGTAGTTTGCAACAGCATGAAGCCCCCAGGTATTACAGAAGAGTAGATAAAAATGAGGGCATTCCCCTTCTTCTTGAAGGACTCTGCAAAAGGTTGGCCGTACTACCTGCCACCAGGTAATATCACCACGTGGGACCAGTTGAAGAAAAAATTTTTGGACAAATATTTTTCGGCATCTCACGCTGCAAGTCTAAGGAAGGAAATCTGCGGTATCAAGCAACACCCAGGCGAGTCCCTCTATGAGTATTGGGAGAGATTCAAGAAACTATGCATCAAGTGCCCCCAGTACCAAATAAGTGAGCAACTGCTCATTCAATACTTCTATGAGGGACTACTCTTCAGGGACAGGAGTATAATCAATATTGCAAGTGGAGGAGCGTTAGTGAACAAGACTCCTCGGGCAGCATGGGAGCTAATTGAAGGAATGGCTGAGAATTCGTAGCAGTTTGGTACGAGGAAGGATGCCCAACGCGTAGGGTGAATGAGGTAGAAACATCATCTATCCAGTAGCAAATTTCTGAATTGACATCCTTCGTGCGATAATTAACTGTAGGAAGTGCCTCATAAGCCAAAGCGTGTGGGGTATGTGCTGCTGTGGGTCATTCTATGGAGATGTGTCCACTGGTTCAGGAAGAAACTGCAGAGCACGTGAACATAGCTGGCCACGCGCCCGCGCCAAGAAAGCAGTACGACCCTTACTCAAGCACCTACAATCCTGGTTGGAGAGATCATCCCAACCTAAGCTATGGAGGGAACAGACAGTCCGTATTTTTCTAAGGGTACCAGCAGCAGTACCAGTCTCGGCAACCACCACTCCCTTCGAACTCAAGTCCGTCCATAGAAGAGATGATGAAGCAATTACTTGCGAATCAGCAAAAGACGGATTCAGATCTGCAAAGCATGAGGAATCAATTGGGACAAGTGCAATCACTGCAAACTCAAGTAAATCAAATGGCCATCGCGATCAACCGTTTGGAATCCCAAGTTCAAGGGAAGTTGCCATTTCAACTTGAATTGAATCCGAGAAATGTGAGTGCAATGACTTTGAGGAGTGGCAAGGAAGTCGAAGGACCCGAGTCGGTGATTCCTAATGACAAGGATGAAGAAAAGATCGAAAATGAGTTTGAGAAAGAAGATAGCAATGGCATAGATCCAAAGGTACTCCCGGACCCAGTCATTACAGTTAAGATTAACCCGCAACCTTTTCCTAGCAGGTTGGAGAAACCGAAAAAGCAGGATAAGGATAAGGAGATCCTGGAGGTGTTCCGCATGGTAGAGATCAATATCCCCTTGTTAGACGCAATCAAACAGGTGCCGAAGTACGCAAAGTTTTTGAGGGACTTGTGCATCAATCGAAGGAGGCTGAGGGGAGATGAAAGAGTCATTATTGCAGAGAATGTGTCGGCGGTCCTATAGAGGAAACTTTCACCAAAGTGCGGGGAACCAAATATGTTCACTATCCCCTGTAAGATAGGAAATACTTTGATTAGAAAGGTCATGTTGGACTTAGGGGCATTTATTAATGTAATGCCAAAATCTTTCTATATTTCTCTAAACCTAGATCCATTAAAAGAAACTGGAATAATTATTCAATTAGCTGACCGAACTAATGCATATCCTGATCGGTTGGTTGAAAATGTGTTGGTTAAAATTAATGATTTAGTATTCCTAACTAACTTTTATGTATTTGACATGGCTGATGATCACTCTCCCGATCCCTCACCTTTGTTATTAGGTAGACCCTCTTTGAGTACAGCACAAACAAAAATTGATATTAATAAGGGTACCTTGTCCATGGAGTTTGATAGAAAAATTGTGCATTTCAATATTTTTTATACTATGAAATATCCTTCAAACTCTAATTTTAGTTCTGTTTTCTCTGTGAGTGCTATTGTCCCTGCGGTACAGGAAATGTTTGAAACTGTTGGCAAGAATGAGTTAGACGTTGCTTTAATCAAGCACCTCGAGTTGGAGATAACTCCTGAGGTGGAGTGGAGTGAAGATTTGAAATACACAATAGGGGCATTACACTCGTTGTCAACCATAGCAAAAAGGTATGAAGTCTCACAAATTTTCATTCCTAAATCTCACCAGAGGGTACTGCCATCTGTGGTGCAGGCACCTGTGTTAGAGTTGAAACCCCTGCCGAAGCACTTAAAATATGCGTATCTGGGCGACAACGAAACACTCCCGGTGATTATCTCAGCTGCACTCTCGGAAACCCAGGAAGAGAAACTAATCTGAGTCCTTAGAGAGCATAAGGAGGCGATAGGATGGACCATCGTTGACATTAAGGGAATCAGTCCTTCCGTCTGCATACATCGAATATGGTTGGAAGAAGACACCAAACCTGTACGGCAAGCTCAAATGAGACTCAATCCCCTCATGATGGAAGTGGTGAAGAAAGAAATTTTGAAACTGCTAGATGTGGGGATCATCTTTGCAATATCAGATAACCCTTGGATGAGCCCAATCCAGGCAGTCCCAAAAAAGGCAGGAGTGACAGTGGAGGCCAACCAAACAGGTGAGCTCATGCCAGTGCGCAAACCTATTGGATGGAGGCAGTGTATTGTCTACCGTAGACTGAACGCCGTCACTAAAAAGGACCATTTTGCTCTTCGTTTCATTGACCAAATGGTTGAACGCTTAGCTTGTAGGGCTTACTATTATTTTTTGAATGAATTTTCAGGATATTTTTAGATAGCAATTGCACCAGAGGATCAGGAGAAGATGACCTTCACGTGCCCGTTCAGGACCTTTGCTTATAGACGGATGCCGTTCGGGTTGTGTAATGCACCTGCAACTTTCAGAAATGTATGGTAAGCACCTTTTCAGTTCAGAATATGTGAAAAAAATTATTGAGATTTTCATGCATGATTTCAGCGTGTATGGTGATAGTTTTGATACATGTCTAGATAACCTGAAATTGATCCTGTTGAGATGTATAGAGACTAATATTGTGTTTAATTGAAAAAAATATCACTTTATGATTGACTAGGGGATAGTCTTAAGTCATGTTGTGTCTTCTAAAAGTATTGAAGTTGACAGGCGACAATAGATATTATATCTGATTTACCTTGTCCCGCGAGTGTGCGGGAGGTGCGCTCTTTTCTTAGACATGCAGGGTTCTATCGAAGGTTCATCAAGAATTTTTCAAAAATTAGAGCCCAATTGTTCCAACTTTTGCAAAAAGATGTGGCTTTCGAATTCGATGACAAGTGTGAGAGAGTCTTCGACAAGTTGAAGGAGCTATTGACCTCACCCCCGATCATCCAGCCTATGATTGGAGTTTGCCATTCGAGATCATGTACGATACCAGTGATCATGCTGTAGGGGTTGTATTGGGACAAAGAGTGGGAAAGGCAGCTCACGTCATCTACTATGCATCCCGAGTCTTGAATGGAGCTCAATTAAACTACTCCACTACTGAGAAGGAGTTTTTTGTTGTTATTTTTGCTTTAGAAAAATTCAGATCATATTTGTTAGGTATTAAAGTAATTGTATTTTCTGATCATGCAGCATTAAGGTACCTAATGACCAAGAAAAATGCAAAATCGAGGCTCATCAGGTGGTTGCTCCTACAGAAATTTGACATGGAGATAAGGGATAAAAGAGATTCGGAGAATCTAGTAGCCGACCATTTGAGTCGCATACCAGTTGGAGAGGAGAACGAACCATTGAATGATGCATTCCCTGAAGAGCATTTATTTTCTCTAAATTCTCAATTACCTTAGTATGCTGATCTAGTTAACTACTTGCTAACTGGTAATTTTCCTGCAAGTTGGCCAAGATCGAAGAGAGATAAATTGAAGAGCGATGCCAAGTACTTCATTTGGGATGACCCGTACTTGTGGAAGAGATGCGCTGATCAGGTGATGAGCCGATGTGTAAGTGAGGCTGAATTTCAATCAATTTTAAATTTTTATCATACTTTACATGTGGAGGTCATTTTAGATCCAAGAGAACTGCTCATAAGGTATTAGAAAGTGGATTCTATTAGCCTTTTTTGTTTAAAGATGCATATGTGTTTTATAAGTCATGTGATCGATGTTAAAGGGTAGGTAATATAACCCGTAGTGATCATATGCCCCAAGTCCCATTGATTTTTGTCGAAATTTTTGATATCTGAGGTATAGATTTCATGGGGACTTTTCCTACTTTATTTGATTTTATATATATTTTGTTGACAATTGATTATGTGTCCAAATGGGTGGAGCCTAAGGCCACCCGAACTAATGATTCGAAAGTGATTTCAAATTTTATCAGGTCTAATATTTTTGTGCGTTTTGGGATGCCGAGAGCCATTGTTAGTGACAGGGGAACGCACTTCTGCAACAAAATCATAGCCGCGCTATTTCGTAAATACGGTGTACTCCACAGGGTCTCCACGCCGTACCACCTGCAGACCAAAGGTCAAGCGGAGGTATCGAATCGGAAAATTAAGTCCATTTTGAAAAAAAATGGTGCGACCCGATGGAAGGACTGGAGTCAAAGGTTGGAAGATGCTCTTTGGGCCTATCGAACGGTGTACAAGATCCCCATTAGGATGTCACCATACAGATTGGTATTTAGGAAGCCATGTCACCTTCCAGTGGAGTTCGAGCACAAAGTTTTTTGGCCAATTAAATAATGTAACATGAGCTTAGAAGAGGCCGATGTTCAACAGAAGTTGGACTTGCAAGAATTGGAGAAAATTCGGAACGAAACGTACGAAAATGCACTGATTTATAAGGAGAGATGCTGGACATTTCATGATCAACAAATTTCTAGAAAAATTTTTGATGTTGGTCAGAAGGTCCTCCTGTACCAATCCAGGCTTAAACTCTTTCCAGGTAAGCTACGTTCCCGTTGGATTGGATCTTTTATTGTTACTCACGTGTTTTCCTATGGTGTAGTTGAAATCCAGAGTGCTAAAACAGACAATAAACTCGTGGTGAATGGACACCGTCTCAAACATTATTACGAAGGTTTTCCAAGTGGAGAAATGAAGACAATAAGTCTAGATGTACCGCCGTGTCCTACTCAATGATATCTTGCCATGTCTAGTCAAAGACATTAAAGAAAGGCGCTTATTGGGAGGCAACCCAATTTCTTTTGGCTGTTTGTTCGATTTTATTTTGATAGTTTAAATATGTTTTTCCTTGAGTTTAACTGATTTTTGGCTTCAATTTTCGTTTTTGATGATTCGTAGATACCTTTCTGGCATGACGCGCCCGCATCATGTCGTATGGAAAAGCTCATGGTCAGAAGGGTTCTTGCCAGTTTGATGCGCCCGCGTCATGTCATATGGAGAGCTCCTCATTCTGTGCCTTCGTCACGTGCCCACGTCACGTTCGCAGGAAAGGTAAGTATTCAAAAAAATTCAAGAACAGTTATTGATTTTCTGTTAATCTCAATTTTTGAATTTCAGAAATAAATTTTGTCCATAATAATAAGATAAATAAATAAATTTCAAAAAAAAAGAACACAAAAAAAAGAGAAAAGAAAAAATAAAACAAAGTAAGAGAAAAGAAAAAAAAACAAAGTCTTTCCGTTGAAAAAAAAAAGAAAAAAAATGAGTCCAAAAAAAAAAAAACAACAACAACAAAAACTATTTTTCTTTTTCTTCTTTCTTCCTCTTTCTTTCTTCTCCACTGCTTCTTTCTCTCTGTCACACAACCTCACTCAGTCGCGCGCCGCCCCTTCCCGCAATCGACGAACGCCGCCGCCGTCTTCGATCTCGCCGTCACCATGCCACACGGACGCCGCCCACGCCGACCAGCCGAAGCAGCCCAGCTCCTCGCATCCCCCACAGCTCCTCTCTCCGTCGCATCTCGATCGCGAGCCATCGTCGCCGCACTGCCCCTTTCCAGACCCAGCAGTCTCGCAGCCATTTCCCCAACCCCATTATCTACACGCCTTCTCTCTCCCTACCGCAACCACCATCGTCGTCGCGCAATCGCCTCCAACGCTCGTGCCACCGCCGCTGCTGAAGACCGTGAGCCGCGCCGCCATCACACCAGCACCGCTCACCACCACTCCACGCACAGCGTGAGTCGCCTCTTGGCCACCACCTCGCCCCAGTTCCTCTCCGCGCTCTCTTGGTCGACTGGAGCCCATCTCGTGCCGCCCAGTCCGCCGGCCATTCCTTTGAGTACGTGAGTCACTTTTGAATTCCATTGAGGTCCATTCTACTGCTTTCTTACTGCATACCTTGAAGTGATTTGTTAGGAAGTTATTTGGGTGTTGACTACACGACCTCTATTGCAACTTTAGTGGCGAAATTTCTGGGTTGTTTGTTCAAGTTAGGTGCATCTAATTGAATTGCTGGAGAATATTTTGACAATTGCTTTCAATTCCTAAGTTCGTTGAGATTACTTTTGGGATTTTGGTTGAATTAATTCTGATAGTGCCTATTGAATTGGGAGCCTATGCTGCTTGATTTGCTTGTTGAGGTTGGTAGCATTTTGTTCAATTGTTGGGGACATTCTGGAGGGTGGTTCATGTTGCTCATTTGAGAGACCATTATCTGTGATTTCAATCGTTTTATTAGTGCACGTCGTGGCTAAGCTGCTTGAGGTCATTCTTTGGCTGTTTGTTGGTTTCAGTGGCCGGGGTTCCCACCTGATGTTGACTGCATATTTTTTGTTGGTATTTTCATTCACGTTAAGCATTGGGCATTGTTATTTGCCGGTAGTTGAATACATCTTTAGGGATCATTACCTTGCTGTTGCTCTACTTTTGCTGGTTGCACTGAGCGTTGAAAATTCTATATTTTGTTGTTTGAGCTAACTATTGGGAGAAATGGTGAGACCAAAATCATCCTCTAGGTCTAGAGCCTCTCAGTCTCAACCCCTACCCCAACCCTCCATTCCAGTCAATGCCCCTATCAACCAACCTTCCGCTTCCGATGTCCAAACCCGATTAGGCAGGGGTAGAGGTGCTCATGTGAATGCCCCCGCTCACTTTGGGGGGCATTTGAATTTCATTAGACCCGCCGATCAGCAGAGATATGCCAAGATGTGTGAGCGGCATATCATACCCTGCAAAAGTTGTGAAAAACTTGCTATGACTGCCCTAGGTATATGGGAGGAAGTCGAGCAGATGTTTACCGTCATCGGGTGGCGTCCTTATCGGGATATCTTCTGTCCTGCATTTGTTGAGCTGATTAGGGAGTTTTACTCCACGTTTGAATTTGAGTTGTCTACGAGATATTCCGTGGAGACCCCAAATGTTATTCATTTCCGCCTAATGGGTCAGGAGTTCAACTTCTCTATTACCTAATTTAATTAAGCATTTGGATTCATTACTCCGGAGTATGCCGAGATTAGGGAGTACGCTGAGAGTGCCTGTGATTATGTAGAGCATTTTTTCTCTTCCTACCACGACATTTGGACGAAAATATCTGTCGACAGGCACCGCTATGACCTTTCTCGTTCTAGGAACTCCTTTTTTAAGGATCCGAGTGCCCGTTATGTTCAGCGATTCCTGGCCTATAGCTATTCGGGTCGAAAGGACAGTTCTGGTGTATTCTCTTGACCCGAGTTCTTCTTTATTTGGTGTATGAAGAACAATATCAAGATGAATCTGGGGTGTTGGTTGGCCGCGCAGTTCAAGACCGTATTAGCCAAGAAGAACAAGCTCCTGATTCTCGGGTCCTACATCACGCACTTAGTCATACAGCTAGGGGTTCTTAATCTGGAGTATCATGACCTTCATTTGGCATTCGAAATGGAACTTCTGGGTGCGGAGTGCTTGGAGAGGATGGGAGTTCTCGAGTATGCCGACGGTGTCTACCGATTCATTGACCCAGGACCGCCCGCGTTTCCCCGCGATCCTCTTTTGCCCATTCTTCCGTTGCTGGTGATGACCCCGTCCCGTCTACCTTGGCCCTGACTCCTCCACCCTCGGGGGTTGCTGAATGGCATCATCTCCGGACGCAGGTTCAAAATTTGGAGGCTCGGATGACCAACGTCGATACTAACGTGCATAGCATGGCGCAGAACTTGGCAGCATTCATGAGTCATGCAGGTCTTATGCCTCAATTTGGTTATCGCCCCCCACTTTGATCCGACTTCAGGGAAGTGTTATTGCCCTTTCTCCTACTTATAATGTTTCTTTGCTACATTGAGGGCAATGTATCGTTTAGGTGTGGGGGGGATCAGTTGTGTTTCTAGTTTTTAGTTGTTAGTAGTTTTTAGTTTTTAGGTTTTAGGTTTTTTTATTATTTATTTCTAGTCTTATTTGTTTATCGTTCGCTCTCCTTCTTTCCTTTTAGTGCTTAGCTCTCGTGTGAATGCCAAAGTTTGATGTTGGATTGTTGACTCTAAATCTACTCTTACCAAGTTTTAATAATAAAAGTGTATCGAGTTAATGTGGTTGATCTAAAACATCTTTTTGGTGAATATCGGTAACTGCTTGACTCTTTTGATTTCTTTGTTAACTTTTTTAGGCATAGGGAATGACTGTTGGTATTTTCATGTGAATTGGTCCAATATTGACTCTAATTCTTCATGTTTGGCAATAATGAGACTAGCTGCTCCTATTTTTATTTTTAGCAGTGTTATTTTGCGTTGTTGTGCTATATGGCTATAAATAAGAGTTGACTGTACTCCGCTAGTTATTACTACTGAGTAACCGGGAACCTTCACTAAAAGTATCGATTATCGTGTCAAAAAATAGTAATTTCTATGAGTACGTAGTCGTATAGCGATGAGAGCTAAGTAACCGGGTTCCTTCATCTGAAAATGTTGGAGTTCGCATCAAAAGGCTCTAATGGCTAAAGACTAAGTCTTTTGTGCTATCTAAAAAAAAGAGAAAAAAATAATATATAGAAAACGTGAAAAAAAAGTACAGGTTGTGCTAGTGTATGTTAGATGTCAGCTTGCCGATTTATGGACTTATTATTGAGATTTTGATTAATATTTGGACCATTTGCTGATAAATGTTGTGCGCCATTCTTTCTTTTTAGATTAGTTAACTTGGAATTGGAGGAGTTTGTGGTTTAAAAACTAACTGAGGTGATGTTTCTCAGATTTTTATCACTGATGCTTGATTTACGATTTTCTTGGTATCTTGACAATTTGGTAGATAGAGCAATGACCATTATCAAATTTTGGTGCCTGTTTACTATTATTATGCTTGAGGACAAGTATGGTTTAGGTGTGGGAGGAATTGATAGGGTGTAATTTTATCAATTATTTTATTGTTAATTTTCCCTATTACTTGACCCGGTGTGGATTAATTGTTGGATTTTACTCACTTCTGGTATTTTGTATTAATTTCAGGGAGTAGAACGAAAATATGATAAAAGATGCCAATTTGACAAAAAAGGAGTCCAAATGATAGTTTGTCCCAGGGGCATTTTTTAAAAAGAAGACGTTATGCCCATTTTGATAATTTCTGCGAGGGCAAGGACGGACGGAGGGCTGGAGTGTTCTTTTTCCCTTAGAGGGCCGCCGCACAGAGCATCAAAAAAAAGAAGGGAGGACTATTAGAGAGGAATTAGAATGAGGAGCAGAGGATCTTGTCTCCTTTAGTTTAGTTTTTCCTTTGACTTTTCCTTGGGATTTTTCCTTTGCTTTTGGATTCTTACGCATGTCAGGATCAAATGGAAGAACTTTGACTCTTCCTTTCTTGCTTCCGTAGTAGCTTTCTTCCATATGTCAGGACAAGTGCTAATCAATTTAGTCATTCTCCGGAAATGTGTTATTCTTCCTTTTGCTCGAACAAATTGAACTCCCTTGGTCAAGGACAATGGACGCGGCTTTCTCTTCAATTTTGCGTGGGCTTTGTTCACCAAGAATGAACTAATTTCCTTTGTCTAGTCAAGGGACAACGGATGCTTTGGGTTGCCTAAAAAAATTGTGAGATCGATCTAATTTTACCTTTTCCTTTATTTATTAGTATTCGCATATTCCTTGATTGCAGTACTTGTGATTATTTAATTAATTGATTATCTTGGATTCGGATAATTAGTTAATTTGGTAATCTATTGTCAATTAGGGCATTTAAATCCGTAATTGTTTAATTGTCTTGAAATAGTGACAACTGGTACTATTAGATTTGTGTCAGGGGGATACGCAGGCTAATTTGAAATAACCCTGGTAGTGCGTTATTTGATTAGAATAGGGCTCCTCTAATACGTAAGACAATTGGAGAATTAAATCTTATGGGCGTATCTATAATTATTTCTCAATTAGAGCAGTGATTAACGGGCGTACCTTAATCACCGACACAGTAAGGAGGGGTTGACTGTCATAACTTATTTGGCAGTTATAACCTATTTATTAATAAATACTTGGAATTGCTTGTGCATCGATGATCAATTAGGTGAACCATTGTTGATGTTATTTCTTGGATAGAATTTTAATTATTATTACCTTGATTTTGGTGACTTGTCATTTAATTTTTAGTTGCCTATTTTATTTTATTTTTATTTGTTTTCGTGCTTTAATTATTTTGGACCTTTAATTGTTGTTACTCTAAGTTTAGTGAATTGTCATTTAATTTCCAGTTAGTTATTTATTTTTATTTTCTTATTTGAATTTCTTTGATTGTCGTCGTTTATACAAAATCACCCCATGTGTTACTTTGGATTGCTTAAGAGACAAATATCCTCAGTCCCTGAGGATACAATCCTACTTGCCCTGACTACAAATTCATAATTATTTGTCAAAAAGAGCCATCCCATTCGGGTATATCGGATCAAGCAAACTCTTCGGGAACATGGTGAATCAAGTAACCCATTGCACACCTAGAGTCCCTGCTCCAGTACTTAGAATCGGGTGTTGGCTACTTTAACTGGCAATTAGGTTTAATTTTTATTATTGTACAGGTTTCGACAACCTGTCACTAATCAAGTAGGATTCAATGAGATTTGGATTAAATGGATAATGGAATGCATCACAACGGCTACCTTCTCTTTCAATATAAATGGGGAGTCAAAAGGATATTTAACACCTTCAAGGTGAATTAGGTAAGTGATCCTCTATCACCTTACCTTTTCTTATTAGTATCAAAAGGCTTCTACAATTTGTTGACTCAAGCAGAGAGCAATCACAAGCTATCAGGATTGAAGATAAGTAGAACTGGACCACCAATCAGTCACATTTTCTTTGCAGACGACTCTTTGATTTTTTGCAAAGCCGACAAGGATCAAGCTGAAGAAGTGATGAAGATATTGGAACTGTATGAACAAGGCTCAGGACAACTGATAAATATGGAAAAATCATCAGTTTTTTTTAGCAAGAATGTGGACCCGGACGAACAAAAGAAAATCTGTAGCAGACTAGGACATATACAGATGGTACATCAAGGGAAGTATTTGGGGCTACATATGGTCATCACCAGAACTAAGGACTAGATTTTTGGTTTTATAAGAGATAGATGTCAGAAAACGGTCTCTAATTGGTGTAACAAGCAGCTCTCCCAAGCAGGAAAAGAGGTTTTATTGAAAGCTATAACCATGACAATGCCAACCTATGCAATGTCATGTTTCAAGCTTCCAGTCAAACTATGTAAAGACATTCATGCTATTATGGCAAGGTTCTGGTGGGGGGAGGAGAATGGCACAAGGAAAGTGCATTGGTGTTCATGGAAAAAGATGGCAAAGGGAAAGCACAATGGTGGCTTAGGATTTAAAGACTTACAAGGCTTTAATAAAGCTCTATTGGGTAAACAAATCTGGAGGCTTCTCACCTGCCCAAACCTGCTGATGAGCAAGGTGATGAAAGCCAAGTACTATCCACATGAATCACCTCTAAGCTGCGAAGTCAAAGGCAACTCCTCCTGGATATGAAAAAGCATGATGGGAGCAAGAGAGGAGGTAAGGAGAGATGCAAGGAAGAAAATAGGTAATGGCAACGGTACCAAAATTTGGGAAGATGCCTGGATCCAGGATGGCAAAGACGGTAAAGTAGAGTCCTTAAAGCCCCCAGATTGTATGATTAGCAAAGTAAGTGAGCTGATTTCCAACTTTAGATAGAACTCACCACTAATTTTCAGGACTTTTAATGCACAAGAAGCGGGATAGATTCTCAAAATCCCTATAAGCCTGACTGATAGACCAGACTGCTATTTCTGGAGCCATAGTGAGAATGGACAGTAAACAGTTAAGTCAGCATATGAAGCAATAACAAGAGAGAAAAAACTGTTGGAACTAAACGGCAAAGTCAAGGGAGAAACAAGCTAGGAGGGAGGGAGTGGGAAAGTCTGGAAACAGCTCTAGAAGATGAAGATAAAGCACAAACAAAAGCTGCTTGTATGGAAAATCCTGCACCAAGCCTTGCCATGTAGGGAAGCACTTCATAAACGAACAAGCAAAGGTGATATAATCTGCAAGATATGTGGGGAAAATAGTGAAACAGTGGAACACATCTTCTTTCATTGTAAACAAGCACAAATGATATGGCGGATAGCGCCCCTCCAGTGGGATGGACTTAAGGAGCACACCGCTGATTTCAGGCGATGGTGGACCATGTTAATGGAAGTGCAGACGCGAAAGGAGGGGAGGGAGCACATAAACTTAACAGTGAACATCCTTTGGCAGATCTGGAAAGCCAGGAATGCAGCTGAATTTGACGGCAAGGATACACATCCAATGGAAGTCATTAGGAAAGCAATTAAGGACTGCAAGGAGTATCACCAATCACAACAAATACAACATCAGCTGAGCATGTCCGAAACAGAAACAGTATAAGATGAGGAGGAACGGATGGGAGAGGATGATTACTTGCTGAACATTAGCGTGGAAGTGGGTCAACATGTGGAAGGCCAAAATATGGGAATTGGAGTTGCAGCACAATACAATTGGAACCAAAAATGCGAAGCTTGGATACTGAATGAGAGAAGCACTGGATCAGCAGTGCAGGACAATCTTTTGGCCATCAAACTGGCACTTTATAAGCTAAAGGAGAAAGGATGGCAGCATATCAAGATCCAAACACCATGCATTTAGGTTCTAAATATCATACGGTATCAAGGTTTTAGTAACTTAAAGCTGGCAGCTCACTTGGAGGATATAAAAGATCTTTGCACAATATTTAGGAAATGCTCATTTGATAGATTACCTGGTGATAGGGATAGACTCAGTGCTAAACTGAGTAGATTAGCCATACTTCTTCATTGATGAGGAACCTGAAGCTCATCAGTGGCCTAGTCCACTTTTGTAAAGTCAAATTTGAGCCCTTACTTATACAATGTAATTTTACTTCCTTATTATGAGAAAATTTCTATCCTTTAGGGAAAAAAAAAAGTAGCATGTATCTTGGTGGCCACCGGCTCTTCACCATCAAGCCGCCAAATTGCCACTATATATGGCTGCCTTCAGTGGCTTTCTTCGATAGAGTTTCTACTCTCATCGACTCCCCCTCCCCCAAGATTAGGATAGATTAGATTATAGGAATATCATCGTTGCGGCAAAAAAAAAGTACTTATATCTTGGTAGTTTAATTTAATATAGTTTCAATCTAGAAAAGATCCAATAGTAAAAATATCTGTAACAATCTTTCTGGCAATTGGTTACTCTTAATAACTTATTTACGAATTTTGGGCTGATCAAGCCAGTGGATAAGGGATGAAAATAATTTTATAAGAATTAATTTATTGCAACACAAGCAAACGTATTGTTTATTTATTTATTTTTTTGTTCTATAAGCACAACTTGTTCATTGCTAAATTGATTGATTGAGAATGGTTTTCTTAAAAAAAAATGTTCTATAAAAATTTCAATGTCTGAAGTAACTAATTGCACAACAATGGATATCAACTAACATTTTCATTAAAAGTTTTCTTTTGCATTGAATATCAATGTTACGTTACACAATCCTTTTTTCTATATATATATATATATATATATATATATATATATATATAACATCCATATTGAAGTATATTACTAATGCAAAAAAATTATATCATCAAGCATGCACAGATATTAAAGGTCTTAAGAATAGATACTATAGATCCGAAAAACAGATAAATTTACACTATAAAGCTCTAAATATATTTTTAAAAAAGCTACAATACGTGCAGTCCCAAAACTATATCTACATGTTTTCAATAGTTAAATCTACTCATTAATTATTTCAGGTTCAAATATTATGAAAGATTTGTATAATAGACCTAAGAAATTTTAAATTTGATAAGCAAATTTGAAAAAACTCAGATCTAATAAAGAAATTGAAAAACTACATAAAACTTTCACTAAGAATATCTAAGAGAGAACAAAGAGTGTGTTTGGATAGTATATTATTTGGGATAATTTTTAAAAAAAATATTATAGCACTTTTTTATGTGATGTATGTGAAATAAAAAGTGGTTGAAAAATGTGTTGATAATATCCTAGGAGAATATTATCTCCTTATATTCTCTTATAATATTCTCCCAGGAAATGTGTTGATAATATCCCAGGATATTAGACAGAAAACTTTTATAAGAGAATATTATAAAAGAAATGGGAGAATTATCAACACATTTTTCCTAGGATATTATCAACACATTTCCTAGGATATTATCAACACATTTATAAGAGAATAATATCCTAGGAGAATATTATCTCCTTATATTCTCTTATAATATTCTCTTATAATATTATCTCCTTATATTCTTATAATATAAGAGAATATTGTCCAAACCTTACAAATCAAAAGGAGAAATGGGAGAGTTTGAGAGTTAGCTGATGTCACTTGTCGAGTTGAGTTTTGGATTTAAAAAATACACCATTTTATGAATAATATGGAAGAGCCAAAATATATGCTACCATTCTTTATCTCAGGTGAACAACGTAAAGTCTACTGTAGCACTGGCAATTCCTTTTTTTTTTTTTTTTTGGGTTTAAGAAAAAGGGTAAACAAAGAAAAGATGTTCACGTACCTCAAGTCCTCAAATCAAATATATGTATTGTAAATTAAAAAAGAAAAGTCCTCAATTATGTAGAAATTATACATATTACATATACTAACAGTGTACGTATTATCAGCATGGACTTTTTTTCCAGTTTCGGAAACAAAGATAGCAAAAATAGAATGATTAATTTTTCTTATACTAATTGTGTATATATTATCAATATCGAATGAATAATAATTATATAAAATTTTAATTTAAAATTCGACTTTTACATATATATTTTGAATCAAATGATATACTATATGTTACATGTACTATAGGTGTATACGAGATTTACGTAAAAAAAAAAAAAAAAAAAAAAAAAGAGAGAGAGAGAAATGAAAGAAAGAGATGGCTTGCAGAAAGTACAACGAAAGTAGAAGCAGCAGCTTTCTGTAACATAGGAGGACACCCCAATCCGGATCCGTTTGCCGTACGTTATTATTATTGGCTACGAACATTTGTTTAGCGTTGGGCGTTGGGGACCCCCTTTTAAGTTTTAACAGCGGCCCCAATACCAATAGTTGTAGCACCTCCAGAAAGCCCGAGTGGTCTCAGTTTCATTTCTTCCAATACTCTAAAACAGAAATTCCCATATTTAGAAATAAATAAACAACGCCAGCAGTTTCCAAGTCCCTCGTCTTTTGGAGCCGTACCATTCATTTCATCCTCTCCGCCCGGTAAGATTTTCTCTGCATTCTTTTTTCTCTTTGTATATATATATATATATATTTGATTTTGAGGTATATTCTTTCTGTTGGATTGGTGATATTCTTGCGTTGCATATTTCAGCTTTATTACCTGAGGAATCTTGGAATAAAGACAAAAGTGAAAAGCAATAATTGTCTGTCCCCCTTTTCTTTCTTTCAATTGCATCCCATATGAATTGTGCTACTAATTGCTTGTGGAATGTTAAAATAGTTATATGAAGAGAGCAGAATATGATATGCCAAGACTTCGGGAATTGAAAAGTGTTGTGAAACTCGAACAAATTGAAGGTTTTTCCTGGTTTATTTGTGTGATGGTGCGCAGATTAGGCGTTGGAGCCCTGATTTCTGTTGAAATGCGCAATTTTGTTTGTCCTTTTGAGATAATTGTGTGATTGCTTTAGTTTTAGAAACTCGTAAATCATGATTTTACAACTTATGCTGCAGTAGTTTCGTAGCTTCTCTACTTGATTGGGAATTGGTGGCCTTTGTTCTGATTTTCTTAGTTTCCTTTTTGGCCTCTACCTGACGAATGTCGATTAATGAAGTAGTAATGCTACTTTGTTAAGTTTCCATTTCGCTCGCTAAAATAGAAGATGGTTGCTCATTGCTTCCCTTGCTGCTGCCTACATACATACAACAAGGAGTTAGAAAGATGAGAAAGAAAAAGAAAACAAATTGCTTATGTGTCTTTCTTTATGCTATGTGCTATGTAGATCTAAGGTCGGTTGATTAAGCAGGTTGTGTAATTGTAGTAGCTTTTTATTCAACATATGGACGTTTGGCCTATCAATCACGATATTCCAACCCTTGTCTTTGCTGGAGAGGCTCGGAGAGTCTGGTGGGGTGTTGCTTAATTGAATTGCATAAGTATCAGACTAGTTTCTTCTTTCTACGGCTACATTTTCAGTGCTGCTCTTACTGTCAGAGCTGTCGTTTATTGAGCTCATCATTGATGCAGTTGCAGATATGGATTGCTCTGTTGGCCAAGGCTTGTACCCATTACACCGCTGCAAAACTATTCACCTGGTTTGTCCTTTCTTCCTCATGTTAGAGCCATAAGTTCATAATAACGAGTCATGTGACATGGTGTATTTGATCTTTTTGCTTAAATTGGATGTAGAAAGTGGTGTACACCTATGTACTGGTGCATTCCAATTTCACTTATTTATTTTTGCCTTCCAATTTCTAGGTAAGGCACGCTCAAGGATTTCACAATGTTGCTGGTGAAAAGGACCACAGTGCATACTTGTCTCCAGAACTTTTTGATGCCCAACTCACACCTCTGGGTTGGAAGCAGGTAAAATTTCTGAAATGTGATCTGCAAGTATTGCTGGTTTAAGGTCTTAAGGATGGTTTTAGATAAAGAAACATTACTGGGCTTGATGTAATTATTTTTATTCTTCAGATCAATTTTAAAATCAGACAGAAATATTTGCTCAAAATCTGACTTCTACTTTTTTTTTTTTTCCTTTTTTAAATGATTAGAGAGAACCATGCCTTAGAATTCGAGAAAGGTTCTTAATAGAAATATTGAAAATGCTTTATTTAACCATAATAAACTTCTGTACCGTTCATGAGTAAAAGATTTTGCATTATTATTATTAGTGATGAGGACAGGTTCATCCTTTCTAACAGGTAGATAATCTTCGTAAGCATGTTCATTCAACTGGACTGTCCAAGAGGATTGAATTAGTCATCTGCTCCCCTTTGTTAAGGTACTAGTCGTTAAAACCTGAAGCTGTTTATTCTTCGTTCTGGAGCATGAAAGGTGAATACCTTATAGTTTTTCCATTTTTTTGCATTTGTGTGTCTCTGAATTGCTGCTATTTGAAAAGTCATTTGAGAATCCTGCACTGGCACTTGTTGATCAATATATTTGAGTGGATAAAAATGGATGTCTGAGATGTGACAAGTAGAAAAGTGACGTTGAAAAGGGGCAAAAGAATTAATACCTCCTATTGGTATCATGATTTTACTTTCAAAGGTGATATTGGATATTAATACCTCCTATTGGTGGTATCTAGCAGTCTTAGCATTGAACATGAAGACAATAAGTTTCAATAACGGTGGTTAGTTTTTTTGTAGGACTATGCAAACGGCAGTAGGAGTTTTTGGTGCAGGAAGTTACAAAGACGGAATAGATGTTCCTCCACTTATGACTGAAAATGCTGGGAATAGTAGCCGACCAGCAATTTCAAGTCTGAACTGCCCTCCATTCATAGCTGTGGAACTTTGTCGAGAACATTTGGTATGAGACTCCAATAGCATGTAACTTATCTGACCATGGAGTTTGAACTTTGCTATTGATATATATTTTTTTTAGCCATAGATATTGAGTATATCCATGTTCTTTTTCGCTTCCTCTAGCTCTAAAATGTGTGCCTTTGTCTTTATGTATAAGCCTTCTGCATAATTGCAGGTTTTATATGTTTGTGTTCTTAATCAAAACTAATTTGCTTGTTTGCTTTCCCTTTTGCTATGCCCTATTGAATGTGGTATTTAATGATATTTTCAGTAAGTAACTTGATGGTTTACACTAATTTTGAAACAAAATTGCTCCGGCATTCCAGTGGACTTTTAATTCTCTGCTTTCTGATGGATTGGAACTTTTACAAAAGCTGTTATTTCTTTAACTTTTACTTGAATGACGTGGATTTCTTAGATGCATCATCCACCTCTCTCTCTCTCTCTCTCTCTCTCTCACCCCTATACTTGGACAAGTGGCTAAATAAATTAGGACTTCAATTAAATGCATTGCATGATTTTGTGGAGATTTCTACCTGCAACAGTATTTCGCCTGTATCTGGTGATGTTTGAATATAGGATGTTTCTTGATATTTTTCATTTTCACAATGCAGGGAGTTCATTGGTGTGATAAAAGGAGAAGCGTAAGCGAGTATACGACTCTTTTTCCTGCAATTGATTTTTCACTGGCAAGTAGTTTTTTGCAAGTTGTTAAACAATGCCCAGAAAATGAATTAACTGCTTCTTTTATCTCTTTTGTAGCCACTGCTAATAGATTATGTGTTACGTTTACTTTCAGATTGAAAGTGATGCTGATGTATTGTGGGAGGCTGATGTCCGAGAACCAAATGACAAAGTTGCAGCTAGGGGGATGGAATTCTTGAAATGGTGACTTCTTGATTCTTTGGAACAGCTATGGTAGCTCCTTAAATGATTTAATTCCTAAAATTAAATTTTGGAAGATTTGTATCAATTCTAACAGGATGATAATGCGTGAAGGCTTGAACTGTGTATTTTATGAAAAAGGGAGAGAACTTAATAAGGGTGGATTGAAAAAAAAAAAAAGGTTGTCAACCAGATTGTGAAAGATCGACTTCTTGGTCCTCCTTCTATTCTTAACTTCGTTTTCTGAAATTGTCCAGGTTGTGGACACGGAAGGAAAAGGAGATCGCAATTGTTACCCATAGTGGCTTCTTGGTTCATACACTAAGTGCATATGGAAATGACTGTCATCCATCCGTTAAGAGTGAAATATGCACACCGTAAGTTACACTATATGTCTGCAGACCACCTTAATGGACAATTTTTTCAATCGTTAGAAGTAATTGGCCACAAATTTCATCTCAATTTTTGTTAAAGCTCATCTAGAAGCCCATGATTGTATTCGCAAGATGAGGTAGACAATTTTGATGCGGAGAAATTGTTTAACATGACAAATGCTTTTTGTCTGTTAGTACAGCGAGTAAGCCATCAGAATAAATCTAATCCCGTGGGCTAACAGTCTCAAGTAGGTTGTAATTTTATTACAAACTGGTCTGAGTTTGCTGGCTTCTCCCTAAATTGGTGGATGATATGGAAATGCAATTGTTAGTTACTGCAAACCCCATTAGTTTTTTTGGCAGATAGGTAAACTTTGAACTGACTCAGTAGTTGCTATCGAGCATCAACATGATATTAGGTCCACTGTGCTTGTACTTTTGGCATTACTGAAGGAGAATTGCTTCCCCTTTAAACGTGGTGGTCCATGAGATATTGCCTTAAACTTTTAATTTTGCATTTTGCAATGGATTTGTTCCCTGATGGTGTCAACAATGACACATGCTGTTTGTAGAGTGCAATCCATGCTAAAAAAATCAGTTCAAAGAGACGTACTTGCTGTAGTCAATTCCAGAAATATTCTTTCACCATCCGTTGACACTGTTTTGTTCCACCAGTGCGTTGATGTTTCCATTTCCATTTGTTTATGCAGATTTAGCAATTGTGAACTTCGCTCCATGGTTATTGTTGACAGAAGGTATGCTGCCCCCAAATCATGAAGGGATCCTATACCTCTCGTTTTTCATCTTTCTCATTCATGAATTTTTGGACCTGCAGCATGATTGGGTCAGATTCTTCAACAACTAATTATCCAGGCAAAATTCCAAGCGGAACTGATGTTCCAAGTGATGATGCTAGTGAGGAGCATCCTGCCGGGTCAGCCAAGTAGGATTTGATTCTTTGGAGTACTATACTAATTACTATTAACGCTTAGTTCTATCAGGGTCGTCAGAAATCTCAGGTTTTAGAAAATATCATACTTGGCAAGGACCTCCTGCTCCACGGATTCATTTTCTTACTATCATTTTGCTTTGATGACTCACATTTGAGTCAAAAGATTGTTAGAGCCCATTTTGTTGTGGCCAAATCTTTGGCTTGTTGGGTTGACGATTTATGAATACCCTAAAATCATTACCTGATCCTTACCCCAAAGGAAATAACCATCTCTCTAGCAAGCAATCTCTACATTATGGAAAAGGGTCACTCTTGACTTCGGCTACTCACTCAGTACTTTGCTCCAGGCATGCTGGCTCTTGATGTTTCTTATTCTTCTTCACACCTCCGTTCCTTAGAGAGAAGATCGGTGCAGCTTGTAACCCTTGCTGCATGTTGCTTTCAGATTTACAGGGAACATATTTATCACAAACCAACTACTTTGTCAAAGTGATTATTTGTGCCTATTCAACCGGCTATTTTATCTTGCACTAAATTTTACAGAAGACGACTGGAGAAATGTGAAACAAGTTTACTCTACACCATATTCCTCCCTGCCTTTTCAACTTGCTTAGAGAATACAATTATCAGAAGTGTGTCATGTAGGAATTACTGACAGCCAATAGCAACCAAGCTCATAACTTAGTAAGCGCAGATATATAAATGAATCCAGAATCATGAAACAAAAAACATCTAAAAACTGCGTGTAGATCACAGATTATCTGTACGAAATGACGGTGAAATAATGATCAATGTTCCTCCACTGATCATATTATCCTTTTATGCCGCGGACCCTAAAATGAAAATTCTCAAAATGTGGTTACAACAGCTGCTTACTATAAGTTCATAATCTAACTCTGTTTCTCCAAAATTTTGATTTGGTGGATAGTATCCAATCAGACAAGAAGAAAAGTTTCTACATACAGCCTTGGCACGTCTGGATTGAACTTCAATATTATTGTGATCTGAAAACAAATAAAGCCAAACCCACTACCACAGAGAATATAAGAACAAAGAAGGCTGCAACTATACTCAAATCACCTAATTTAGCCAGCTGTGATGTCCCGGGGCTCCTTTCCTTCTTGCTTTTCTTTGAGATTAAACCATCCGGCTTAGATTCTGAAGATAACTGACTAGCAGCAATGTCCCAAAAAGACTTGCTGGCAGAAGTTACGTAAGGGGCTTCAGATTCCAGCCCCAAAATTGCTGAATCATCTTCTGGAGCTTCCATGGACATCAGCTCAACACAATGATCTTTGAGAACCTGGGATGGCAAGAGCAGGACAAGGAAAAGTCAAAACGGTATCACTAAGTCACCATTTCATTTTATTTTAAGAAGTGTTTAACTACGCAGCCAACATAATCTGCTAAAGATGGATACTGTCAAAACACACGTCTCTTTCTGAAGAATTAAAGTTCCAATCAAAGATCTGAAGCCCTTAATTCTGATCCAATATATCATTTAGCATTCATCAAATGTTTGAATGGTAGTCAGAGAACATAAATTATTGTTAGAAAAGAATATAAAACATAAGTTTATCAATATGATCTTGTTACAGTCAGAGTTTCCAGAAACGCACCTCAATTGTTTCAGATGGCAGAATGTAGTCACAGATGTATGTACCCGCCAGCCATGGAATGAATACTCTTCGAGGAAATGACAGGTTTGAGAATTCTCTAATTCAAATGACAATAAAAATAGGTGAAAAGGAATTCAACTATCAGCTTTGAGGACTTAAAGAAGATGATCTATTTATAATGGAGGACATATTATCTTCATAAATGATTCCACTTCTAACCATCTAATAAACCATGAGAACAGAGGACGAGATAGGCACTCGCCAATTTTGTTTTTGGGTTGTTTTATATTACTCTATTTCTGTCTTTGTTTGTCCTTTCATCCCTGATGCACACATGCACACATACATACACAGAAAAGTTGACTGCAGGGCCGATCCTTCTGACCTAAAAAATACTCCTCACTTCCTATTAACCAAATTCACAAGAATTTCATCTGATTCTCTTTCACTGGACTAAGTAGCTTTCATTAGCATTGACCAAACAATTTATTTTTACATATAAAGTTCCATGTCAGTTCGGCATAGTCACCAGAAACAGTTTGTTGATTAAAATAACTTTTTATATTGCTCATATTCACTCACTGAAACCATGACAGGAAAAAATAGAAAATTGGAAAGTAGACACGTCTCATCACGACAAGATAAAAATGGCATCCCATGATCTGATCATCAATAACAGTCAAATAAATGCCAGGAAAAAAACATAATTAGACATCCTTTTCCTTTCATAGAAGCGCTTAAGACCAACTGAATCCAGGACAGATAATGCAAAACTGTCTGTGCACTCTCGTACTTTCCACCAATATTGAATAAGCAACACTTGCTGACAGTCATATACCTCTGCAATTGTAGGTCAAGCTGCGGAATTTGTTTTCCCATTGACAAATGACGGCCTGCTTCCTGATCTTCATCAATTATTGATTCTGAATCTCTGTCTGCCTCATCACACAAGATCTCCAATCTACTTTGCAAACTCATGATTATGTCTTCCTAAACACCAGAAGCCTATGATCATACATCTGAATAAATTTACAGCTACAAAATATCAGCCTGAAGGGAGAAGAAATATAAAACCCTGATCTTCCAAGAGATTCATCACTGAACAGGGCTTTCAAATCAAAGCATGGGCATTTAAAAAATTCAAGTAAAATGTTACTAACATCAGAACATTATCAAGAGATCAAGTGAATTTGAGATGCCAGTTTACATTGATCAAAATTGAAATAACAGTTTCAGCACTAGCTGATTAAATTTTCGTAGTTGAAAATTGCCCTACCAAATTCACAATTCTTCTTGAAAATTCAACTCTCTAAAGACAAGCATATACTATCCATCTGTCAATCTTGGTATGTTCACAGGATGGGCACACCAAAAACCTTTATAGAATTGAAATAATTTGTCAACAAATATCAAAAAGATTTCATGTTAGGGAAAGAAAGGGGGAAGCACATTCTGAAACTATTGTGGAGTACCTTTATCTCATTCAAAGCTTGTGACATCGGTTCCTTCGGATTCAGGTAGGCAAAAGAGCACACAGAACCATGAAAGACAAGGACACCAACCACCTCTGTCTGCCTGTATACTTTATAAAGAAAAATCACACCAATAAGCGATATAAGCTTACAAAAGTTGAGCAAAGTAACCCAACCAGGTCCTCAATGACGTATAAAATGAAATATTAACAAAACTGGCCAAACTCACCTTCTAAAGATTTATCGTGCATGAAAGGTAGGAGAAATTCAACTTCATGTAAACCATCTGGTGCATATTGCTCATCTTCAATCCCCTAAACATACATGATTTGAGAAGATCGAGGAAAGAGAATAGACTAGAAAAGAAAGGAAAGAGATAAAGCTGACAGTAGACAACTAAACATTGTCTATTAATAATTGCATACAGGAATTGTGTCATTGAAGAAGCAAACTTGACACCATTTCTTCTGCAGGCCATAATGGGGGCATTGCAGGGTGTGCACAATATATTACTCACTTTAACTCATCAACCATACTAAAATCTGCCTTTAATCCAGTGGGAAAATAACTTTTACACTCTAGCCAATAGCTTTTGAATTGGATGGCTTTAACAGATGGAAGGAATGAAATATCAACATCACACAAAGCTATACTAAGCAATCAGAAAGCAACTTTTAAATTCCGATCTAGCCTCTTTTATGAGATTATTATAGCTTGGGGAAAAAACATACATTTGGATTGATAGGCATCGAACCATATGCAATGATTTCAGGTGCACACTGATGGCTGGATGGTAAGAAAATCACTTAAACATTCAACCATGTCTAAGTACTAAAGGAGACAGACACTTGCAGTTGCAAAGTTGATTCACTTTGCAACAAAATCATGCACCTAGACTCAAAAAATCAAATTTCAGATGACGGCTATAGCTTGACAATGCAATATCTACAAGTAATCTTCTAAACTTAACATAATCACAATGAAATTGAATAGGCTGATGTATTTTATAAGAAAAAGGTAGCAAAAAGGCACGCTCTTTTTCCATCCACCAGATCTTCTCCTTATCTGAAACAAAACAAAGAGACATGCTTTCTTCATGTCTTATGTGGCTTTCATCATATAACTAGGAACTTATGTACATTTCTACTACCAGTCGCAATACTCTTAACACAAATTAACTGGACTATCTAAGGCTTACAGGACCACAAAATTGCCTTGTTTATTCAAAAATATTACAACTTTGAAGAAGAAGCAGTGGGTAACAAAATACCACCCTGATGATGGCCTTGTCCCTGAGATGTTTAGAAGTAAGGTTCATGATCCCTAGCACCCTAGACCACCTATCACTAGATGCCCCATATCTGTGACCTATACACGATGAACGCAGGTTAGCATGAGGTAGGCAATTATACAAGAAAAGGCTGAGAACAAATTTTTTAGAAGGTAAGCAGGGCAATAATAGTTCAGAAGTCAATCTAAGCATGACTTCTGCAGCTTTACAACTTGCCTAACATATTTTCCTAATTTCCTACTAGAAAATACCTTTTACCATGAATAATACACGTTATAGAAATCTAAAGGGTATATTTGTGCCAGAAATGTCTCATTTTGTTAATTTATTTGCTTTCTTCTTTGTATTATGTCACTGGATCAGCACCAACAGTACACTATCATTAGTAATATCAATATTAGCAGCATTCTACCCCGTTATCTTCATAGTTAATAGATGACATTAGACATTAGTTACTAGCAGTATATATGGCCAGCAGACAAACAATATTTTAAAGGCTCCAAAAAGTGTGCATCACTTAAAAAGTTTATGACCCAAATTACATGCATGGTGGACACAGACCTTGCATTTCAAGTTAGAGTTTCACAGAACCACACTACTCCATGATTGATAATAATTCACTGTTTCCATACCAGGCGCAGAAACAATACATACAGTGCAACAGTTCCGCAATTTAACAGTTCCTTACCAGTCTTCCATTAATCAAACACTTTGCGCCTTTAAGCTCTTTGGCATGCGTTGAAAGTCCACGACGAAGAACTTCACTCATTTTTCTGATACTTGATCCATTTTCAGAGAAAACTGGTAACCTGTGAAAAATATAACTCAACCACTTAAAAACATACCCAGGTAGCCACAACAATACTTCACTAAGTGTGATTGGAAAATGTCAAGGAGCCCAAAAAAAAAGAGAGAGAGAGAAAAATGGGAATAGTGCTCTGTCTCCTAGAATTTTTTTTTTTTTGTGGGTAGGAATGGAATGCTAGATACTTTCACCAATCACATTAGGCTTAGAATATGAAAAACTAAAATCAGATTACAATTACCTCATATCAAAGTTATATGTGCACCTAAATTCTTTCAAGGAAGACAAAACTTTTCCCATTTTGAAATCACAAGGCCGTAAACTACTTGATGTAATGTTAGAAGCCAGCGAACAATTTCGACAGGTCCATCTGATACAAAATTTTCAGGCAGGGTATCAATGAACTGAAAGACATTAAACTTGTATGAGGGGGCAAATTTTTTCCTGAAGTTACCTTCTGGGACTGTAACTAATGTGGATGAGCAGTCTCTCATCCATATCAGTGTCCATAAAGGGCACTGCATCACAGACTCCTTTTACAGTCTGAAAGAGCATAATATTAGCAGTAGCATATGGACCAGGTCAAATATTCAGAAACACTAAGGTCATTAAGTGGCCAAACACATTCAAGAGCATGAAACATGCCCAATGTGGCTTAGAAATTGTTCCAGATATTGCCACCAATGATGTCATAGGTTGTATTTCACTCAACAAAATGTGTGCACTTGTGTGAACACGTGTTCGCGCGCACGTATGTGAGAGAGAGAGAGAGAGAGATGGCAGTGTAATACTCAAATCTGGCTGTCTTAACTCTGGTCTATATCCAGACCAGGATTGAGAATACCATCATAATAGTCAAATCCACCTATTCTTTCACATCCATAAAATTAAACAGTCATCTCTCTCTCAATCACAAATTCAAGTTTGTATTTAAACATGCAAAACTCCAGTTGCTGAATGAACAAGACCTGACAAAGTGTAATTGTTGAATTCTTGAAGGAGCTTTCATTGACCCATATATAGACACCAATAACCTTCATCCCACCAAGCAGCATTCTCGAGACCTGAAAACGAAACCTTCATTAGTACTTGAGCAACTCTTTGAACCATATATCTAACTTGCCAAGAATAGATTTTCACAGAGTCCTAGGCTGAAAGTCAAGCAGGCAACCAAAGTCCAAACTTAAGAAAATCAAAACTGGACATGAACGCAAGGTCAAAGAGCCCAACTTTGATGATATCCAGCCCAAATGTATCTTTAACTCTCTGGAGATAGATAAGAACCTCGTGCAGGTTATTAATACAACTCGTAAAACTCAATCAATGGGCTCAAAGTTGAAATAGGATGAATACTGGAATACATCTAATCCCCACAGGGAACATAAAAGTCCAGATAATAATTTCCATGAAATTAGAACCATTTAAAATAAGATACAATCAAAATTTAAAATTAATTTCTATGGACTGCTATTCATTTCATAATGATCAAAATAATCTTTATTTACGTCACGTTTTTGCAGTAATACATACACATACATTATACATCATCCAGTGCAACATGTAAAATACTCAAATACTTTCATCTTCTCTTAGCACAAAAATATGCAATTCTCGTAGTCATATTCTAAATTCAAACACATAATTTGATAATTCAAATTACAGCAAATTATTTAAAAAAAAGTATAACTAGTGGAAATGTGTTAACCTGACGAGCGTGTTCGGAAACCCAATCTCTGTCGATAACCAAAGCCGAGGAGTCGGATTGAGGCTTGCTTTTGGAACCTTTCTTCTTATTTCCATCATCTTTACCGCTCTCAATTAGTGAAGAAGCTGGTTCACCAGCGTCGTTCAGGGGAGTCGGAATTAAATCGAAAACGAAGCCTTTGTCTAAGCTCTTGCTCAATTTCCCGATCACAAGACCTACCTGAGAGGGAACAGAGGCTTGGCTGAGCCGATCTTCGATTAACTTTAGCCGTGATTCTTCTCCGACGACGGCTTTCACCATCTTCTTCTTCCTCGCCTTTGCTCTGTCTAAGGAGTGTGACAATTCAGACAAGGTTTATGGAGTCGGATCCGATGGAGCGGATAGTTTTATGGGTCGGATCTCTGGTGGAATGGTTTCGTTTCGCGTCGTGTCTTTTTTATGACTTGTTGTCTCGATTATTTTAACTCATTATAGATTTCTCTTTCAATAATTAAAAAAAGTTAAAATTCATAATCAATTTAAGAGTGGCTTTCATTGATTTTAATTTTTTTTCTATAATCACTTTTCATAATTAAATTTTTTAAAAATTTAAAGCTATCAAGATAATGCCTTAACCCATTTCATTTATTTTACCCGCGTTGAATATACAAGAAATTAAGAAAAAAAATTACAAATCCCAATTTAGGAGAGGTTTCTTTTCTCCATTTCTTCTCCTCTTTTTAAAGACCTTTCATTTAGGAAGGAAGGAAGATCACATTATAGTCTTCCTCTCATAAATTTTGTTTTGCTTTATTTTTCTAATAAAGTCTCTCCTAAATTTATTTTTATTTATTGAGAGTTTTATGTTTTTCTCAAGAGTTTTTAGTGAGACAAAAAAATTTCTTATTTTATTGTTAGATCTGAATTTATTTCAAATTTGATCGTTAGATTTGAAATTTGTTTGGATCTTGAATCTTTTTTTGATAATTGTCCACCATTGTCATTGGAGCTTAAAAACAAGGTTAAAATTGTTGATTAGTAAATTTGACGATTGCAATTCGCACACAAGAGAACTGCAATGAACTTCTTCTTGTTGGAAGGTTTCTGCACTTGCCAACACATAATGGAAGACGCTTCAGCCTGCCTCCAAGCAATGCAGCATCAAAATTCACAATGTGCCTCCTGTTATCTACAAGTTGTCTCTAACCATAACACTTTGCAGCAAGATTAATCTTCGTCAAAGGTGATGAAGTGGTACAACTTTTACACTATCAAAAGTGAAAAATTTTACAACAAAGACCAATCTTCTTAAAGAAAGGAGCAAGAAGTACAAATGGTACTTCTTAAAAAAGGGAGCAGGAAGTACAAGTGGTACAACTTCTACTCTATATGTGATAGTACAACTAGAGGGGTGTTAAAGATTGGTAAGTATAACTAGCATTGTCTCCCAGGCAATCCAACTTAAGGGGACTTCATCAATGAGGGCTTCATATTAATTTGCACAACTAATACAAAACTGGGGAATACAGACAGACAGACAGACAGTACCATATCACTCAAAGCATGGTAGGAGGCAGAGGAAAGCATGGTATTGTAAATTATACGTATACGACCCATATTGCATCAACATTTCTATCCTACAGACTTGGTTGCTTTCGGGATACTAGTATAGATCATCGCCTTTTACTCCTTGCCAGGGAGATCCTTGATTTGCACAAGTCCGTAGGTGGTTTCCAGATGATATCTTCCAAGTTGCTACAGAAGTTTTTGTAAAACTGCAGAGTAAATTCTTTATAATCACTACATTATAGTAGCAAGTTCCAAAACAAATATCCAAGAAATAAATTATCTTTTCAATTCTATTTCTCAGCTCTACTGCCAGAAAACAACTAAATCTCAGTTCAACAATCAAAGACTCGAGATTCGTTTAGCAGGCAATAATATCTATCTAGTGCTGTAACAAGTTTGGAACACTTCATAATTTCCAGCAACCATGCATTACCACCACCTTCTCTCTCTTATGCGAATGCAAAAAGACAGCACCCGAGTAAGTATTATAGCCCTTTTACTAGTTTCCTCAACTCCAACAGTAAAGATGAAGAGATCAACAGTGAGCATAACAAATACCGATAAGCTCAATTACAGCAATAATGTAGAATAATTTCCAGTATCTGACCTTGAGATATTCACTAGCATCTCCAGCAGCTTTCTGAATGTCTACCATAATAAATGTTGGAGCAACCTCAAAGATCTGTTCAGGAAATGATTGCATAACTAAAACTGTCTGTCAAGAGTTAAGGACAGTAAGAAGGCTGCATCCTTACCTCCAAAAATACTGAGAAATGTGAAACCTTGTTTGCAGAAAGGCCTTCCACCCTCATCTGAGAAATTTTTTAATTAAAATTTCAAAACATGTATTCCACCACTTAACAGGTTTAGATAGAGATCAACTTTACAAAAGCTTTTAGGATAAGAAATAATATGCCACAAGGCTGCTTTCTAGATTTGCAAAAAGGTAGGTAACATATCTAGTATCCTACCTTATAATTACGAATATGGGTTTTAAAACCCATTGATTGAGCAACAACTTCCATACTCGATAAAACAACCTTTGCAGGTTTTTGTGAAACAAAGCGCGTTTGATTTTTCACCAAATCCTGTATATCCACAGGGTTCAATGAAAATGTTGGATCAGATATGATGAAGTAAAATTAACTAGGACAGGGAGGGGGACTGCATTATGAACTACAACATTAAGCAAGAAGTAACATGAATACTTGAATTAAAATTCATTCAAATTGAGGTGATAATTTGGTGCTTGTACCTGCTTACGATCAAACAAGGCAGAAAGGTTTAATCCTTGGGAGAGAATGATTAGATCAAATGCATTAAGAACCAAAGGCCCTACATCCTCATTCCCACATTGCTCATTAGTTTGTTCTTCCTGCAACACAATAACATGGAGAACATGTGAGGAATAAAGAGCCAACTTCCAACCCATGAATGAAGAAATTAAAACTCAGCATAATAACTAGTCATTTAAAATGGGAACATTCTGTGGTTAGCACAGAAAATTTCGCTCCTAATATAGCAAAACAGCATACCTACTCAACAAACTTTAACTTGTTTCATCATGAATTAAGTCATGAAAGCCACCCTCACAGATCATAACAGTTGGTTAAGAAACAGATTGGACCTTGCAGTAATGGGGTTAAAGAACAAAATGTGCATCATGCAGGTGCGTATTACATCTTTCATTTTAGTAGCTATTCATGCAGTTGTTAATGCATTTCCCAACAAAGAACAAGCTGTCATGCAATATACTAAGAACCCAATCACATAAGGAATACTATTTTACAAGCTTTATGACCTGCAAAGCTGATTATGAAAGAACTATTGTGATGAAAAGAAGAGCGAACAATGAGATACATATACTTAAGAACTTAAAGAAACAAAGAGATTCATCAGGCAAGGATACAGATATTTGTCAGTTATAAGTATAAGACTGCAAATAGCTTCTAATGCTCCATCACCACAGCTACGGGTGGAAGTATCACAACCAATTCCTGACTACAGGACCAAAGCCCAGAAAAAAGAAATATAGATTGCAGTCATATCTTAATATATCACTAGAACTAACGATGATGCAAAATGCTGCTGCAAATTTACTCTCACCAACCTCAGCATCATTAAAAACAGCATTAACATCATCCAGATTGACATCCTCACTTTCAGCAAGTTTCACAGGAACATAGCCTTTCTTAAACCACTCATCATTTCTGATTTCTTCAATTCGGATACGCTGCATAAACGAAGAGACATTGTAACACAAAGTGAGTGCACTAAGTAATGGTCCCCAACAAAGCTCTTCTCTGAAAAACTCTACCATAGATATTCAAATGCGTAAACTGCTGACCAATGGAAGCACCTTACAAACTCAGAACCTTTTGAGTTACAAGGTTGTGCATTATGTTTTCAGTTCTTACAACATTCAAATCATACCAAATTTTACAAATAAGGTGCAAGTACTCTAATAAATTCTGTAACGAGATTACTCCAATCTATTGCTTTTTCTTTGGTATGCTACTAAAAATATCAGTTAAAGCGAGAGACTTCCTGCTCTCCTCCAATAAATCTTGTATTTTGTTGGCTCAGAAACTTCCAAGAAAGCAAATTTCAATACATGAATTTCTCAAGCTAGCCTCTAGAACTGAAGAAAACCTGAAATAGGCAACTAATTGTCGATTGGAAGAAGACAAGAGCATAACAACTACGGTTTCAGAATCTCAAACTAGTTAGACTTACTTACCGTGTCAGGATTGGGGTCCAAAGTTCGAGAAATCAAGGATCTTGCTCCAACTGGAAACCAAGATGGGCATAAAAATTCTGCTCTTTCAATCTGCAAAACATACATACCAGTATGACATAATAGTTTATATCCTTTATAAATGAAGGTAATGGCCAACTGCTTCCTTGACATGTGGCAAATCTCTTGACACCAAAACTACTAGAAACAAGCTTCAATGGAGTTAGATCCAAAAGTCAAGCAAAGCAACCCAAGTATCTGATAACTTTCATGATAGTGCAGATATGCTGAAAACACAATACCTTGCCATATAGTGTAGTAAGATCAATCTCGTCAAATGGAAGATAACCCGCCATCAGGACATAAAGGATGACACCACAGGACCAGACATCTGCTACAGCACCATCATAGCCCTTGTGACTCAAAACCTATAGAGCGTACATATATCACGTGCAACTGGGAAATGTTTAATAAAATAAAACTGGGAAAAGTAAACAATCTAATCCCCTTTATAAAATTACAAGCTACAGTTAGTCCAAGAACCAGTTCAAAGAAATACCTCTGGTGCCACATAGTTTGGAGTTCCACACGTTGTCTTGAGCAGGTTGACTCCCTGAGCATAAAAACTACTATTAGTGTCCCAATGCTATTGTGTTCAACAACTTGGGCAAGGAAATATCAACTTCTGATGTCTTACTTGTCCTGGTAGCGCACTAAGTCCAAAATCTGAGATCTTCAAATTCCCTTGTGAATCTAGTAGAAGATTTTCAGGCTGCGAAGCATAGCATGCATCATGAGGATTCCAATAAAAGGTATAAAAAACAGATTCAGTCAAGTGTCACTGGGTCAGTAAATGAGAACCTTTAGGTCCCTATGGTAGACTCCTCTACTATGACAATAGTCCACACCATCTATAAGCTGCTGGAAGTATCTACGAGATTCAGCTTCACTTAGCCTTCCATGGTGAACCTACATATGGATGCCGAAACATTGTGACCCTCTAAGCATGCTAGAAGTTTTGCTGGGAGCATATTAGAAAATCCATTTTACGCAACAATGTTTGGTAAAGGACCTACAATTTTGTCAAACAATTCACCACCAGTAATAAATTCCAAGATGATGTAGATCTTGGTGCGGCTTGCTATCACCTAACATGGGATGACTAAGATTAGCAAGACTAGCAAACTGCATAGAATTCTGAGATAATAATAACAATTCCATTTGAAAAGGAATGGAATAAAGTTTTCATTTTGAAAGCATGCCTCGTGTAGACGGACAACATATGGATGCCTGACAAGCTTCATTATAGATATCTCCCTCTTAATCTGCATGAAGAAAATGACAAGACCTGTCATTGAGATTTAATTATGGAAATTCTGAAAAGCTTAGGCTCGGACATGAAAACATGTAAGCTATTGCGAGAGCAGCAGAAGAAAATGAACAAAAATACACAAAAACATACTGCCTAGCGTCTAATGAGAACAAAAATACACAAAAACATACTGCCTAGCGTCTAATGAGGAGAATCCCATTTGATAAGTATCATTGAGCTCTTCATGTAAGAAATTAAAAAGCACATATATCTAAAACATCAAAGGTGCTACAACTTTCAAGTGGTGAAAAAGTGGGATGGTAACTGTAGATTAAAAATTACCAAATTTTAGCTATTAATCATTAGAATGATGCAACATCAAGTTGTCAAAAAAATCAACAACTGAACAACCGCTTCATAGGATTTGCTGGCAACCGAGTTCAACCGATTAAGCAGCATTCAAATCCAAATTCAAGACAAGTAAGGTTGACTAACCACAGATTACTAGCTACGTTATGGCTATTCAAGTATCATTGGAGATTTCACAAAATAAGTTTCAGCACAGTCATCTTTCAATGAGCTTAATTAGCATACTAGACCATTACCTCGAACCATGCCTCTACCTCAATTGTCATGTCATAACATAATTTACACCAACAAAACTCTATTCTTAAGCTTTAATTTTCAAGAATTTGATTCAAATTCAATTAAGAGCAGAAAGGAACTAGATTATAACCAAATAAAAACAAGTACTTGCTGGATCCATTTTCAGTCTGTCTAGAGAGTAGCTAATTAGCTACAATACAAGCAGCAAAATCATTTAAAAAAAAAAAACTGAATTGTCTAAATTTGAACCAAAAGGGATAATGGGAAATAGAGAAAAACCTGGTCGACCATCTTGTGCTTGATGATGGTGGAGCGATCGAGTATTTTCATGGCAACACTCTCCCCTGTCTCTGTATTTTGGGCAAATTTAACTTTAGCAAATGTTCCTTCTCCTATAGTTCTTCCTATCTCATACTTGCCTACTTTCCTCACCACCATTTTCTTGTCCTTTTTCTTTTATTTTCTAAAAAATTCTAGTACTAAATTTTGAACTGTTCAAAATTTCAAAATTTTCTTGCTCCTCCTTCCCTAGCTTCCCACCATTTCCTCTTTATCAATTCTCTCAACCAGACCACATTGATCATCAAAATCACCGAAACTTGTTTAAATTAATCAATTTACAAAATCCCTTCGCTAAAAATATATTAACAAAAAGAAAAGTAGGAGCAAGAAAGAAAGAAGATTAGGTTTGATAAAGTAGAGAAAGAGAGAAAAAGCGGAGAAAGAAAAGAAAGGAAATGGGTTTTGAAGTGGCGGAGTGGTAGAAGTGGTTGAAAAAAAGGCATTTATAGTGATGTGAAAGCCAGGTGAAGAGAAAATTGGGATGATTTCAGAAACCTCACCTGAATTTTTTGATTATTTCACTGACCTCCCCCAGGTATCAAACATTACACTAATCTCCTATAAAGTTAATTATCTTACAACATTTAGACCCAATTGATAATTAAAAAGTAATATTAAGAGGGAAAAAATATTATGATTCCATCACTACCCCTCATCTACTACATTATTTAATTAATTTAATATCAATTCATACATTTAAAAAACACTAAAATTTGCTGTTGTCATTATAGATCAAATCACATACAGTATCAAAAAATAATATATCATGTTATATTTTTTACTTAATACAATATACAATTACTCTTTTCAATTATATACCCATTGTCAAACATGATCTGCAATAAATAATCAAGAAATTTGCAATCAAAATATCACAAAGAATAAACTTTAACATCATAAATATACTTATCAACATATTAAAATTAGTTGTTGAGAATTTTATGGAATTAAAGTTCACTCTTTGTAATATTTTGATTACAGAATTTTTTATTATTTGTTATTAATCATGTTTAATGGTGAATTTGCAACTAAAAAATGCAATTTAGATCTTACATTAAATCAAACGTATAGAATGATATGCTATATTTGATACCATATGTGATTTAATTTCTAATGATAAACAACAAATTTTAGTATTTTCTTTAATGTATAGGTGGGTATTAAATTAATTAAATAATTTAGTAGACGATGGACAATGGTGGAATCATATTATTTTCTCTCTCATAATATCACTTTTTAATTGTTGATTGGACCTAAATGTTAAAAGATAATAAAACTTAAGGGATATTAGTATAATTTTTAAAATTTGGATGAAAATTAGTGAAATAGTCAAAAACTTTAGGGGAAATTTCTGAAATTATCCCGAGAAAATTAGCGGGGTTTGTTGATGGGAATGGAATAATGGTGGTACCAATTGATTTCCAGTCACCAATCAACTGTGTGTCGCCACACTAAACTCAACAGTGTCTCAAGTGAGAAAGGCGATGGCTCACTATTTCTGTCTGATATAGTATTTCATTTATTCGCCTTGCTTTTCTTTTCATGTATGTGGCATCTTAAAAAGTTCTGAGTCAGGCTTTCACCCGATTAAGAGCCGCGTCGAATCCGGATTAGTCTCGTTAAGAGTGAAAGTATCGGTGCGCAAAAAAAAATGTATAGATTCCAACGCCCAACTTCTCACTTCTTCATTTCTTTGCCAATGGTTTGAGGACACTTGTTAATGGTAAACTCTTGTGATTTGTCATAAATATTTGCTCACCTTACAAATCTAAAATCTAGTCTTTTGAAAAAAGAAAATGTTTAACCAATTTTCAAAAATTAACATCTAAACCCTAATTAATGAGTTCATCAAAATCATTAATTAGGCAAGCTCTTTTATTTTAGAAGAAGGGAAAATGTTTTTTTTTTATTTTTAATTCAACATACATGGATACTATATAAGTTTATGAAGACATTATAAAATTCAATATGGACAAATGGCTCGAATGGTACTTAAAAAGTTTTTAGTGAATCACTTTTGAATTTGCGATTTTTATTTCTGGACAACGTTATTCTTTAACATTTATTATTGGACTAATTTAAATCCTCCACTTTAATTTCTGACAATGTTATCTGTTAATTTTTATTATTGTTGGATCCACTTGACAAAGTGGTGATTTCATATTTTTTTATCACTTACTTAAGTTTTAAAGTTTATTATATATATATAAATGTCGAGTATTGGATGTTGGGTTTTTAGCGTCCTTCTGCCAAATCTTATCGAATTATCCATCGATTACTCCTTATCAATACCAAATCTTGATAAATAACTCATGGGTCGTTTAATCGAATTAACCATTGGATTGAATGCCTACGAATATCGAATTTTACCATATCCATTACCATCCCTACTCTTGGAGTACTAATTGTCAAAATTGAAGATTCTTTCAATCCATTTTTCATTTTACATAAAATTATAAGGAGATATAAATATATAATTAAACATTAGTGAAGTCATGTGGCAATATGCAAAATCATAATAAGTTTATTACTAATTTTCCCTTCTTTTAGGAGCGCTCACAATATTTTCCCCCTCCCTTTCGTTCCTCTTGTTTTCTATTTCTCGTTTCCATTATCAGGATTATTGTGTGTGTGTGTGTGTGTTTTTTTTGGGTCTAAGGTAAACATTGTGAAGATATGAATTGTACATGTAATTGTGAATAAAGGGGGGAAAAAAAAAAAAAGTGCCACAGAAACTGTCAAAGGACTGGGCACCAAACTGTGTTTGGTCATTGTGGAAATAACAAATTTGAGGGAAAATTTGTGCAAAACTTGAGAATCAGTTGTCATGTTGTGCTGAGTTAAATTGCTTTTGTAGACTTCACCACGTTTGATCATAAGATCATCTTATTGTTAGTGGCGTCCAGTGGATAATATAAAAAATCAACAAAGTGCATGGCATGCCAAGCAAAAGTCATAAAACGACATAAGTATACAGTTTTTTTTTTTTTTCTCTTGGTAGAAACAAAAAATATCCTACTATTAACTATTACAGCCACATAAGTAAACGGCTAATCCCAGTTGCAAGTGAATGACATCATTGGTGGAAAGGAATTTCCTTTTTTTTTTTTTTGCCCTTTTCAATCTCAAATCCTCAGCTTAGTTAGCTTGTTTAATGTGTAGATTTAATGTTCTTGTTAACAAATTTGTATTTAATCTGTACAACTATTACTGCATAGGGTACTGTAGTATTGATTGCTTATTAAAGGGGCTCAAATTTTGATTAAATCAAGATCTCGATCTTCGACAATTTAAATTTACTACTTGTAAATATTTCAACATGCTTCATCAATATATATATATATATATATATATATATATATATATATATTATTAGCTGTAGATCGAGTTCAAATTTTGCTTCAGCTTCAAAATTCATATGCATATGGAATCCGTGTCTAAGTATAGATGTCATTATATTACAGACACATTGGTAAGACTAGGGCTGAGTCAAGCTCGACTCGAGCTCAATCGAACTGACTCGAGTTTAAAATATTAAGTTCGTTAACTCGCGAGTTCGAGTATATATATATATATATATATATATATATATATATATATATATATATATATATATATTATAGTAAAATTACATATATATCCTTAATATTTTATTATTTATTAAGAAAAAAATTATTTTACTTATTTTTTTAAAAATAAAATAATTATTTTTATTTTTTCGAGCTCGACCTCGAACTTTATATTGTCAGCTCGTCGAACTCGAGCTCGAGTTTGAGTTCAATAAAATTAAGTCAAGATTCAACTCGATTAGACCAAAATTCGATTCGACTCGACTCATTTGCAGCCCTAGGTAAGACATTCAAAATGCCATGGCGACCATGAGTTTCACGTAATGTATCATTTCATATAGGTGGTACGACACTATGCCAAAAAAAGTATCAGAATGAATGATCATAAAAAAATTTTGGGTATCAAGCCGATTATTTCAAATAGAAATGGAGAAAATCAACAGTTTAACAGAAAATAATAACTAGCACAAACTATGAGTAACACACAAGAATTAATATAGTTCGACTTAATCATAAAATCTACGTATACAGAGAGAAACATATGTTCTTATTATGAAAAAAAATACTATAAGATTACAACTTGATTATCAAATCCAACTCTTGTATAATCTTTTCACCTACTAAGAACTCTCTCTCTTGTAAAATGCTAATTTACCTATTTATAGAACATCATTTGGCCAAAAATCAAATAATATTAGAATGAAACTTTATTATCTACTCCAAGTAACTAAACAATTAGCAAATTAGTTACTTCCACACAAAACAAGAAATTTGACTAAAAGAAATTAAGTCAATTTCTTAATAAAAAAAAAACTTTACAACTCATACCTATGACCTTAATTACGTTGATGGGAAATTAATTAAAGAACAAACAGTATAAGTGTCTCATCTTGTCTTTGGTTATTATCGAAAGTCCTGAACAAGAATTGATATGACTAAAAGAGGGATGATGTGGTTCTCAGTTATTACCAGTCTTCATCGGAAGAAGAAGAGGGAATGCATGAGAATTGGCTTTTATCGAGCAAAGGCATTATGGTGGCCGACAAAGTTGTAACTTCTAAGACCAACCCCCTCTACAACAAGCGAACCTCAATGGAGCTGGCCCCTTCCATCTTCCAACTGATCAATTTGACTATGCTTTCTATTTTGCTGCCACAAACACAAATGAAACTTTTTATTATCTACTAAATCTCTACACGAGCGTGTTTGGTTGTGTCAAATCTGAGATGTGATTTTTGTGGCCAGATCAGGTTTGGCTTTATTGGTGCCGATAAATAATTGGCTATGCTATGATAATAATGCATCGAGGCAACTCATATCTCAAGAATGATTATTTTTGCTATTTGGCTGTGATTTTTGTAAAAAAATAAAAAGGGGGGGTTTAGCATTTTTTATTAATATATATTTTTAACTATTTTTTTATCACATACACATCAAATCACTGCAATACATTTTCTTACAAATATTCGTAAAAATAGCAATTCAAACGATGGTACACAGCATGCTCATAATCAATTTTTCTTAACTTGTTTATGTAAAAGAAGAGTACATTTCGTGTTTCGCAATAATAATTGGCTCGTACGTTTTATTTGCTGGGTGTCTAACAACTTCTGATGCCTAAGAAGATGATTAGATGAGGATAATTTAATTTAGAAAAAATCGTTTAAGACGTCTCTCACACTTTACAAGATTATTTTTTTCATCCTTCATTTTTAAAATATAATTTTACGTCCCTTACAAATTCACATTAATCAAATTTGGTCCCTACTTAGATTTTCGATTAATTTTTTGCCAGAATCCACCACGTGA